TTTTTTAAATGTTCACTTTTTCTAAAATCATTTCAATGAGGTATGAATAGAACAATTAGTAATTGCTAGAGCAAACAGCCGGCTGTGCTAGTGGAAATAATAATGAGAGTACGGTTTCACATATTATCAACCACAAGTTTGTCGAGGTTAGGTCAAAAGATGGGGTTGGTCAGAAAATAAGTTTGTATCATTTTTGTCAGGTATGACATGAAGAGAAAACTTTGAGCTTGTCTCTTAAGGATTGTCAGTGTTCACGGGTTTCACTTAAACCTGTATACTTGCTCGTAAAGCCTAAAGTCACTGCACTATACTTGTGTAGAATTTTATACTTAGGAGAAAAGTACATAATCTAACTATAAAGTAACTATCTTCATGAAAGCTAACAAAATATGTATTAAATACAGTTAGAGCACAAAAGCCCAAGTGGTTGAGCAGCTAACCATTAAATGTACCAAAGCATTTGTACTTATTTTGTTTAAAAACATCTGTGATAATTCTGGCCACTTGGTATCTTGTACTTAAAGAAGTATGCGCTATACAAGTGGAACTGTAGTGACATTATCATATTGCCATAAAACATGTTCGAAGGATTAGGAATTTAAATTTGGTTTCAGGAATATAAATCGATCTTTGTCAGTATAAAGTTGTTTCCATAATGTAAAACTATGAATGAACATTGTATAAGAGATAAAGTTGGTTTCATAAGTTAGAGCCATAGATCAACATCATGTGAGCAATAAAGTTGGTTTCATAAGGTAGAGCTATAGATCAACATCATGTGAGCGATAAAGTTGGTTTCAAGAGGTAGAGCTATAGATCAACATTATGTGAGCAATAAAGTTGGTTTCATAAGGTAGAGCTATAGATCAACATCATGTGAGCGATAAAGTTGGTTTCAAGAGGTAGAGCTATAGATCAACATCATGTGAGCGATAAAGTTGGTTTCATAAGGTAGAGCTATAGATCAACATTGCGTGAGTGATAAAGTTGGTTTCAAAAGGTAGAGCTATAGATCAACATCATGTGAGCGATAAAGTTGGTTTCATAAGGGAGCTATAGATCAACATCATGTGAGTGATAAAGTTGGTTCCATAAGGTAGAGCTATAGATCAACATCATGTGAGTGATAAAGTTGGTTTCATAAGGTAGAGCTATAGATCAACATCGTGTGAGCGATAAAGTTGGTTCCATAAGGTAGAGCTATAGATCAACATCATGTGAGCGATAAAGTTGGTTTTACCTTATGGAACCAACTTTATCGCTCACACGATGTTGATCTATAGCTCTACCTTATGGAACCAGCTTTATCGCTCACACGATGTTGATCTATAGCTACCTTTGGGCTATAGATCAACATCATGTGAGTGATAAAGTTGGTTCCATAAGGTAGAGCTATAGATCAACATCATGTGAGTGATAAAGTTTGTTCCATAAGGTAGAGCTATAGATCAACATCATGTGAGCGATAAAGTTGGTTCCATAAGGTAGATCTAAAGACTCAAATCATGTAAAAGAAGTTGTGTTATTACCATCACACACTAAAAATGTTGCATATTCCATTAACTGGTTTCAGTCAAAGTTCCTGTAACATGCAGCTATCATAATGATAAAAATATCTGTATACTGCTCCAACATCTTATGTCCTTGATTTTAGCTAGCATGGTTTACTTCGGATACACGTTGAAGAGAGAATGTCCAGTAGGTGGTGTGCACAGACTTCAAAGCACTGTGCAGATATCTGTTTGCCAGATTTAAACTGCCCATACATTGGAGTTTTGGTCTTAAATATGTTTTGCTTAGCGTGTGTTATACATTGGAAGCATAATACATTTATTAAATTTAAACAGTTGTAATACAAGTATTTTGCCGTTAATAGTTGCACGTAAAGTTAATCAAAATTTTAACGAGTTTTACAGAATATTGTCCTGCAAATTGTTTTATATGATGGGACTACCCATCAGATCTAGTGTCGCTAACAAAACTGTTAAATCGTGTCTTTCAATGCATTAAAACCGTGGAAGCAACAGCAGTCTCCGTTTTGAAATCTTCTAAGGAAGACACAGTTATGTAGAACACTTGAGACAAGTTAAACTCCATCTGGTGGCTTCAGATTTTATTTCTTCATTACGTAGTAACTGTGCTGCCGAGGACTGACTGCACAATAAGCATGTTTTAATATATCTTGTAACCAGTTTGTTTGTCTCTGGGTTAAATAGGAAAATGTGTATGTTAGCAAAGCTGAACTTCAGCTGGATGATTAAACTTGAAATGTATTTTCATATGGTGTGTTAATGAAGATATGATAGTACAAATCTTGTATTTTTTTTTTCAAACAAAACTTTGGTAGTTTATTGTCTCTGCAACCTTTGATGACATCAGGTTGCAATGTAAATTCATCAAGACATGCCACTGTAGGTTAACATTCCTACATTCTGTTGATAGTCATTTCTTAAGACTTGGTACATAAATATTTCTAAGGCCCATCAGTCTGATACTAACAACTTTATGGCTATACACACACACATACAACAGCGGTATTTAAATTGCGTACGGGATCTCGTATAAATGGTAATTACAAGTCGGGATTTGATTTTTATATTGCTATAGTACAATTCTCTTACGAAAGTTTTATTTCATTATAGATAAAATCCCATTGTATCTTTTTGTACTGTCAATGCAGCCGATATGGTTTAGGCTCGTCTAGTTCGAGTGATCGCATATTGATGTACCTGTTTTGTGAAACAAGACTAACATGCTAGTCATTTTTTTTACATTATGTTCTTATGAATAGTAAATATAAACATTTTTACGTGAAATATAAACTTAGAGTAGGCTATACGTAACGTAGCTTCTCCTCACGCACTTGCAATCGGCTGTTCTTTTACCTAGTCTCTAAAGGTTTTATTTGAGTTCGAGCATATTAATATTTACTGCTACTATTGAGGATATTAGATCGTATGTTGTTAGTATATAGTAAATTTTTCACTTATGCCGAGTTCTTAAATTAACACATACCACACTATGTCTTCCCTATCCTTTATTCTGACTGTATTCCTTCTAAAAAATGAATATTTGAACGTATTGTTTGAAGACTTTGTAGTTTCGAGTAAAATTACAAATGTATATGTTATAAGGCAAACTGTTTCTTCTTTTGTAATCGTTATTTTTGTACTTTTACGTCTGTTTTTATTACAATTTAAGTATTTTATATATATACAGAAGTTAGTTGAGCAGATATGAAAATAATAAAGGTTTGACCACAAAACAGTTTTAAGTCATAGTGACAAGAAAATATGCCAATCGTTGCAACATTGCTAAAAAGTTACCGTTAATTTTCAGGTGAACATTTTGCTCCGATTTCATGTTCCTTTCATGTGCTTTTGTTTTGGGGCAAATTTTTATAACCATTTTCATGATTGCTAATACACGACTTCATCTTATTAGTTGTTACTTCCCACCATTTTGTATCAGTAACAATTATTTACTACAATGTCAACATAAGTTAATAACGGTACATAGCAAATCTATTGTTCTTGCCCATTTCTTCACAAGGTAAGACTTAAAGGCAAGTAAGTGATCCGATTATGATTATAGAAGGAATTTAGTGTTAATACGAAGAAGACACTGACCTGTACTCACAGAAAATCTGTGGAACAACATTGATTCAGAAATAATAAAATTGTAAGAATTTGGAGAGTGTGTGTGTATATAAACAGTCTTTGCTGAAGCATTCTTTCTTGGCACTGATATTTGTAAATAAATAGTTGTTTTTTTTTTATTGTTCACGATTTATCCAGGAATTACAGTTTAAGTGCACTTTTCGAAGAAACCTGATTTAAGAAAAAATAAGATTTCCATTTTCCAAAATCTTTTATATGCATTGAAGCGTTTTAAGTTTTATAAAAGCTAGAGTGGTGTAATGAGGACAAAAGCTATTTGTGTATTTATCAACAAGCTTTTCTTACTTTAACTGTTTCTCTGTAATCTTTACAAGTCAAACATTTATTTGTAAGGGGTATGCCTTATAAGCTACGTGTTTCCTACTTCAAAATAATGTGAGACCTAGTGACTGATGCATAAATACTACAGGCATTATACAAATGCTTAAGCTTAAGTTTTATTTTTTAAACAATACAGTTATTGCCTTACTGAATGTTTAATAAGTGAAAAAGGTTATGAAAATAAGTGGTTTTACGACTTATAACAAGATTTGGGTATAAAGTTCATCACTTGGCTAATTCAGATTGATTTCATTCTTTACCAAACCCTAAAATGACTTCTTTTTTTTTTTTAAAGACATGTACCTTTAAAATTACCTAAATTAAAAGGCAGAACATCTAAGGGTTAGATAAATTTCAGTGCAGTAGGTTCTTGTATAAGAGTATTAAAATCTGTTTCACTTTCACAAATACTTGAATTTCTTGGGACATCAAAGTGTAAAAAGTTTGTGGATTTATTTTTCAAATAGCTAACTATTGTAGAGATGAGGAAAAAAAAATCAAATGAGCTATACTGAACTGTGGTAATGGGCATTTTAGATTAAGTCAATAATTTTAATTGAAGGTGAGGTTTTGTGATGTTATTTTTATAGTCTGTGATAAAGAATTTCACCAAGAATAATCTTATTAAATTTAAAAAACAACAACAAAAAACTGATATTGTATTTTTGTTCTTCAGTATAGATGTAAATGGTTTATTTACAAATACTCATTTTGTTTGTTTGTTTATTAAAACAAGTTTGTCCCTGAAAATGTTTTCATTTGTATGTTGTATGCCATTTAATATTTTGGCTTTGAGAAAGAACTTCTGTGATGAAGAACACAGACAATTCTGTTACTTGGGATGGAAACTGTGCCTTACAGTAGTGGGGGGGAAAGAGAGAGAGAAAAACTACTGTTGCATGGCTGTGTAATGTTTGCTGCTTCTGTTAATAAACTAGTCTTAGTAATCTGTACTCCGTGCTATATTTCTTCCTGAAGAGTTTTCCACATTAAACAGCATCAGTTTAACCAATAACTTTATTTAAAAAAAAATGAACAAACATGTATACACCTTTTTTTGTTGTGTCGGGAAAGTCTACATGTTTGGGCAGAAAAGGGAAATAATTAGCTGCATTACATCCAACATATCGGGACTGAACACCACAGAAATATACATGTTAAACTCGGAGGTACAAGGTCTTAAAACCTTTTTTACAACTGGGAAGCCACCATAGCTTGTCTTTGATTTTGATGAATGATTTGTAGTTGTGATAATACCTGCATAATGAAGAAGAATTGGATGAAAGTAAAATGTAGTCACAGGCATGGCCTTCAATTTTTTTTTTTTTTCTATAGTGCTCACTTAAAAAAATTTATTAGTTGTGGTTAAACTTAAGTAAACATCTCAAAGAAAGTTTTCTCATGTACAGATTCTGTTCGACATGGTAGCAGACATTAACAGATTGTGATTCAATCAGATATCTTGGTACAGTTCACTGATTTCTCGCACCATCTTGATTCGCTGGAGCACCTTCTGAATGGCATCTTTCCCTACTGGCTGCGTTGAATACCACACAGGACTGTCGGGGACACAAGACCGTTCTGGGTAAAGATAAAAGGCATCCGTGCGTGTTTTAACACACTCCGGGCTGAAAAAAAAAAATTGTGTTTGTCATTAAAATCCAACAGAAATATGACAAGACTTGATAGTATTAGTGGAATGTCATTTTTGAATGCAATATTACCACACAAAGACTTGAAGTGGCTGGAGATTGAAATACTGATCTTCATGATCACATCCTTCCAAAGTTTACTTTGAAGTCAGTGACTGAGAAGTACTAATTAATATGTTAGGTTTAAGAAGTTTCATATCACCTAACTTTATTTTATTTTATTAGTGTTTACTCACTAAATGCAAAAAAAAATTACAAAAAATCCAACCATTTAGGTCATCATCCAAGCAGAAATCTGATTAGTATAACACTATCTGTACTTCACTGGGTTAAAAACAGGTAAGCTCGTCTACTTACTGGGGTAGCAAGTAGACAAGCTTACCAGTGGCAGTGTTTACAGGGTTTCTTTTAACACTTTCCACAGTGTTTACAGGGTTTCTTTTAACACTTTCTACCGTACTCCAGCAGGTAGACAAGCTTACCAGTGGCCAAGTAGACAAGCTTACCAGTGGCAGTGTTTACAGGGTTTCTTTTAACACTTTCCTGGAGTACAAAGTGTTAAAAGAAACCCTGTAAACACTGCCACTGGTAGCTTGTTTACTTGGTGGGGTAGAAAGTGTTAAAAGAAACCCTGTAAACACTGCCACTGGTAAGCTTGTTTACCTGCTGGAGTAAAAAGGGTTAAAATAAACCCTGTAAACACTACCACTGGTAAGCTTGTCTACTTGGTGGGGTAGAAAGTGTTAAAAGAAACCCTGTAAACACTACCACTGGTAAGCTTGTCTACTTGGTGGGGTAGAAAGTGTTAAAAGAAACCCTGTAAACACTGCCACTGGTAAGCTTGTCTACTTGGTGGGGTAGAAAGTGTTAAAATAAACACTGCCACTGGTAAGCTTGTCTACCTGCTGGAGTACAAAGTGTTAAAAGAAACCCTGTAAACACTACCACTGGTAAGAAAATGTTAAAGAAACCCTGTAAACACTACCACAGGTAAGCTTGTCTACTTGGTATTCATGTTTTTCTCTCCCCTTTAGTACATACATTAGAATCACAGACTGTTCTCATCTATATCTGCAGGTAACCATTACCTAGGTTTTGTGTTAAATAATCTTTTTATGAAAGCTGGTCGCAGATAAATTGGAAGATTTTCCCTACATCTCACTCCTAGGGTGACAATTTCTTTATAGGCAATAAATAAAACAATTTCCAATTCCAAACCATTATTTTTAAAGAATCAAGTTTTCACTTTTTACATCTATTGTGGTTTTACTGAAACTAAACTGTTGAAAGTTCTGGATTTAAGGATCTTTACAGTCATGCTTACGTTTTCTCAATCACTGATCCACAGACCAGACAATTATCTTATTGATTCTGACAGGATATTAAGGATTAGTGAACTTGTAGGTTATCGATAGCTCCTGATGAAGTTGAAATAGCAAAATATTGAGCTAATTACAGTTACATTTTTATTTTATTTACGTTTACATAAATATGTCAACGGCTTTTCATTGTAACCAAAAGTTTAATGGGCCACTCCCTAGTATCCAAAACAAGTTTAAAACACTGTTCTAACACAGAGTTAACCAGTGGTAATATATATATTTAACTGACACTTCAGGAACATGCTTGCATTAAGTCATTCAAAACAAAGAAAAAAACAAACAAACAGGTTTTCTTACCACTTGGAAAGGTAAAATTCGTACAGCTTGACTGGACAACGGAGAGGGTTGTCAAGGTTTTCTGTTTGTTCCAAAACAGCCTGTTCGTATTTCCGCTTCTTCTCTCCGTCTGTAAGTTACGAATATCGGAAGAAAAAAACAATTTCTACAGTTAATTCAATAGTAAAAAAGTTTTTAAGTCTGTATCATAGGTACACTAACAGGGTTTATTTCAACTGAATGTGGCTAGATAAACTTGATTAGATCTTTGGCTTCTTCATGTGAGAAGTATATTGGTCGAAATTATTTCACCTCTGTTACACTGCACAACAAAATTATTGGGGCTCTTTTAAAAACTCAATTGGATGAATTATTTCTTTGTTTTAATAATGTAAGTAGCAATTTATTGGTTAGATTGAAGCCTATGCTTAAGAACAAGTAAGCTCATAACTGGCCTTATTTAGAATATTGGAATAATTTAAAGGGACCACCATATGACATGCACGTATTAAAGGCACACTTCAATGTGCTTAAGTTTTCGTGTTCTTTCACCGATATCTCTCATTGGATCAGATAAAACCTTGTGGTGCAACAAGAACAAGTAATCTGATAAACCACATTTGAAGTTTTCTTTGGCAAGATTCTGTTTTTATATTAAAAAATAATGCAAAATACAATATACTGTTTTACAAGAAACGTCTTAGTTGCATGTGTGGATATCCAAAGGACGACACGTGGCCATTTTTCCGAAATACACGTCATAAAGTTATAAAAAAAACTTTTAATTTAGGAAATATATAAATTAGTGCTTTTTTGTGTAAGTTTATTTGTTGAACTATTCATAAATCATTCTATCAATCAAATAGATAAAAACCATTCTTAAAAAAGGATACCTTGATTTTATCAAATGCTTTATGCAAAGCAACTTTACCATAGCGTTTCGTGTGTTAGCAGCAGTATATCCTCCTTCACAGAGTGCATCCACACATACAATTAACACGTGTTTTTATATTTCAGATATAAAGGTAGAATCTCCCAACTGAAAACACGAAATCTGATTGATCACGTTATCTGTCTTTGTTGCAGATGTGCGAGTGAAAGAACGTGGAAATTTAGGGACATGAAAAAAGGTTGATTATATTGGAATATACCTGAAGTTAATGTGAAGTAATCGTCCCTTAAATTACTTTAAAATCTTGACTATGGCCAAATAAATTTCTATATTCGTAGACTAGTTCAGTGTCTAAATTACCATTTATTTTATGTAAAACAACTTTTCCCACATTGCCTCTATTACACCTTGTAGTAACAATATGGATATTACCTCATTCGACAAAAATCTACGAACTAGGCCTAATAATATCAGTAAAAACTTTTGTGGCAGTGTCAGGTTTCTGAAAATAATAATTTAAATTTAAAACAGCTCCTGCTAATTGTTAGAATTTAATAAATAAACAAGGCTGAACCAAGTTAACTTAAGGAAAACCTTTTTTAACTTGTATATCTCTGATATTATACAGTGACAACGCACCTGGATTTCAGTATTTTCCTATAAGTGCGGTGGACATCTAATCAGTTACTCAAAAAATAACAACCAATTGATATGAAATGATGTGAATAATGAAACTTAAGAGGATCAAACACCAGTCAACATGTAAAACATATATGGAAATGAAGGTGCTAATGTTCAATCGTCCATGCTTAAATAGAAGTTTCTGATGTGCATGAGAAAGTGGTCAAATCATTCTTATAAGAGGATTCAAATGTAGAAAAATAAATTTTCCTTTTCCTCTCTTCTACTTTGTTATCATTACAAAGCCCGAAGTTTATATTAAATTACTGAATACTACCAAGACAATATTGAGTGCCACCAAGATGGCATATTAAAGATCTTAGCCATAAATTCTACACAGAAAATGCAGTACCATTAGATCCTACTTGCCACAGATTAAATAAATGGTAAGGCCTAGGTGATTTAGTAGTTTTAACTTGAAACTTAACAGTAACCATCCTTACTCAATGTTCAAAAAAGTCACCCAGCCACTTTATTTTTAGTTCTTGCAACTACTGAAATCAAGTCAAAACTAGGGGCTGGTCTGAGGCTGTGAAAAAAACTTGTAACTGTCCCCCAAGTGTCACAAATCTGAATTATACTGATGGTTATAATTTTTTTTTACAGAATGAATTACACCGATTTCGAGTCTCAGCTTGTGAAACAAAAGATTAGTACGGAGGATCCGTTCATCATTGACCCTTGGAAGGATCTTAAACAAATTAGAAATAATTGACAGTATAAAGGAATCTTTCCATTCATAAGCTGAGGCCGGAAATCAATGTAGATAGTTCTGCAAAAAAAAAGCTAACGTTAAAGCTTTAACATGTTGTGTTTGTGCAGAATAGTAGTTGTCAAGTAGCACTTGGCCTCATGATTTATACATTCGGTATTAGATTACCACGTTACAAAATTGAGGAAGAACGAGACAACTGTACATTTTACAAATACATCATTTATTCACAACTATGGTTTTTGCCAGTAAAGGCATGATCGACATAAAGTAGGCTTGTAACATGTATACTTGGTATTAATTCCGATGGTAATGTATAGTGGCCACGTATATTTGGTATTAAATTACCATGGTCAGTGTTCCTTCTAAGCTGCACAACAACTAATCAAGTGCAGTGTGCTTCATTATTCCAGCCACACACATCTTCAGTAATGGTGAAGAGTCTCAACATGTTGATGGCCTTAATGACCATGGCAATCAATAGGCTTAAAGCCCAAATAACCAACTGGTAGCATTGCAAAACAGCCTAATGATCCAATAGGGTCGATGGTCTAAAAATCCCCCACCACCACCACCCACTAAAAAAAAAAATGGTAGAGCACATCCACATTGCCTTGATATTGGTGAACCTGAAAAAATTCACTCCACACATGGATTGAAAAAAGTAGAGGGAACATTGACCATGGTAACATATAGTGACATTATAAATATAATCTCTATTACATCATTGATAACCAGAGGTTGCATTTATGCAAAAGATTAAGACCTGTGCATTAGTGTATGCACAGTTTGCTCCTGAAGAAGAGCCGCCCACCTTTCGAAAGTTGCTTGGGTTATAGGGTTTTTGTTAATTTCTATCAAGACTTCTTGAACAAATGTATTTTGATATAGTTAACATCGTATGCTCAGTTCTCGTTTAACTTACCTGGTGTCATAGAAGAATATTTCAAACAGATATAATTTAACATGAAAGCATTTTCAGAAATAAAAATAATATCCAAAGAAACTCCCTAGATTCCTTCGTTCATCCGTGCAGGAGATGTGTCAAGTGTTTTTTCTCCAGAAACTATAAATTACTGTTCAAACCACTACACTGATACAAATAATCTGTTCTATTCAACCATATTTAAACGTTTGAATTTGATGAAGAGGAACCCACTTTTTATAAAACAAGTTTGGAGACAGCTTGAATTAGTAGTGAAAGAAGCCTCAATATAAACATACAATGTTTCGACAAGTTGATGGTCTAGATCCTGTTCACATTTTAGGAAGTAGTTCGCTTCTTCATATTTGGAATTCAAGATGGTTTTTAGAAGTTTTCACTCCAGTTTTGGATAACACCAGTAAACTGGTTTAGGTTTTTGGATAACTTCACTTTTATAAAATTGGGATGATGACAAAAACTTGTCAAAACATTGTACGTTCGTAATAAAAGTTTCTTTCACTACCCATTCAAGTCATCTCTAAATGCTGCCTGCAGCTACTTTCAAAGCTGTGCTCCATTTAGTAAATGTTCAGACCTTCTGATGTGGCATCATAAAAGAGTTAGAATGAAGACTTTAGCAATTAAATCATTAACAGGGAATGAAAATCAAAATAAGGATAATTTTTATTCTCAAGGGAATGATAGCTGAAGTCTTAGAAAATATGAACCTATACTTTGGATGGGTAGAAAAAGTTTTTAAAAACCAGTAAGTGCACTTACTCTACACCATTTTTCAGAACATTGCGGGTTTGTAATTGCAATATTAAAAACTAACGTACAGTGTTCTTGTAACATACATAAAGCTAATCTGTATGAGATCACTAAGATAACACATAGTGGCATTACAATACATAAAAAAAATTATGCTTCCGAGCTGCTATGCTCAATTGTTACATCAGTTCACACAACTGTACACTAGATAGACAAATGCGAGTGAAATTTGTATTATCCTAACAGTTACATTGAAGTATTATTGAAAAGAAAATGTTAGTGAAATTAAAGAACAAATTACATTATATGGATAAGTGAGGATATAATCGTTTAACTTACAATCGGTTCTAACTGAAGGAGTTACCAAATAACTTAAAATCTTTGTACTTATTTTCATTATTATGTGCTCCAGGAAATGTAAACAGAGATAGGTCAAGCTGAAAACTCTGGTGATTAACAGCAAGTAAAGCCGAGCCAACCATTTATAGAGGGATGCGAGGAAGAAAATGGGTTATTTTTAAAGAAAGTCTAGTGAATTTTAGCCTACTATTTAGATATTCATGCTGAATTAATATTTCTACGTTATCTCCTATATGTATGCACTAATACCACTAACTATCCACAACAGGACATTAATTCTTTCAAGAAAAAGTTGCTGAGTTTGTATGCCATATTTGAGTTCAACATCACAATTTTGTCGATCCAATGCCAGCTGATTGTATCCTTGTAACACTGTTAATCTCTTTTAACTTTGTATGCAGTTTCATCATTGACTTTCAGACAAATTTTCATGTTGATAAAAATGCAATAACATCACACATGCTAGCTATAATATGGCACCAATCTATTGAGCAAAGCTGAGTTTGATTTAGAAGTATTGTTTACCATTGGTCGAGCAGAATTTAAGGCTCCAGTTTACTTTTCAGACTTTGTAAAAAAAAAAATGTACGTGACACGTGCGAAAGAATTTTGTTTACAATTTTTTTTCTCGTTAGATTTAAATCGACGGCCACATCATACTAGAATAATATACAACGATTAAAGTGTTAAAAATTTGTCAGCCACATTTGTGTAATAAAGATTACAATATTTCAACATTCAGTTGTAAAAGGGTTAATCTTAGTTAACCCTATCGCCCCGGGTACCCTTTACTGCGCATGACACAAGGTTTTAGTGTCTTACATTCATAATTTTATTAAATTACTTTTTGTTTATGTTATACCAATTAGAATAGCATAAAATCTTATCTAATAATCCATATTTTAATAGTATACAAGTTTTAAATTATTAATTCTACAAGGAAATATTGTAAAAATCCTGAATTTCCACTAGTGTCATCATCCCTATTTTATCCGCTACCTCTCGAAAAAGTACAAAATTCAACATAAATTACTCTCGATAAAATCATTATTGCTCAGACAAACCATAACTTTTATAGTCTTCAATTTTGTTTGGCTACAAAACTATTGAATAGAAAATCAGAACCTTCTGTCACATCCTCTCTTTCAAAATTTGTTGATAGTTCTCTCTTACGCTTCATTATATATTACCTATAACTAATAGAGAGTCAAGGTTTTCATCTATCCAACGACGTATTGTATAGTATTGTCTTCTAAACAGATATTCGTTAATTTCACTCAAAGTACTAAAATCGTTCCTGTGGGAATGTTAACAACTAGCTTGGATGAATTTCTAAAGGCTCTTTTTGCATGTTATTGGTGTATATTCTATGGTGCATTATTTGATTAAATAAAAATGCTTAAGTGCTTCAAAATTAGGCTTAACTGTCATCGACGATCAAGAGCAAGAAAAAAGAAGATTGGGTAAGTACTTTATTTCTTTTTTCTTATATTTATTCCTTATTTATTATTATAAAAGTAACTAAAATCTAAAAATATGGATCTTTTTAAGTTATTTAAGACTATATTAGGTAAAATAATTATTAATAATAATAATATAATTACAATGGTTCACAAAGCACGCACGTGAGCAGCTCATAGTAACTTGTGGTTAATGTAATTCAATAGCATAACGTGACCTGCATGTTCTTCAGGTGATTTAAAACTTTTTTATGGCATAGATAGTAGTTAGACACGGTTCAAAGGGCAATAAAACAATAAAATTTAATTATAAATAGACGTACAATGTTACAAATTTAGAACTTCTTTGGATAAACGAATGTAGTTTCATGTTACAATTTGAAGTCATTCTAGAAAGAAAAAAGGGTAATTTAGGTTTATTTTGATTTTTTTTTTTCTGGTGGTTATGAGGTCGGTCGAATTGACCGATCCCATTTTGAGGTAAGGATAAGGAAAATAACAGATAAATTATAAAGTTTTACTGAAAAAAAAAACGTTCAAAATGCATTTAGGATATTTCAGGGATTACACAAACAAAATTTGAGATTTTTTTGAGATGAGGAAGAAAAGTATTTTTAATTTTAACATGAAAATTACTTTGCACATGGACTATTCAAAATAAATATATTAAAATATATTAATGGACAAATCTTTACTTTATTTAAAATACTTCACTAAAAAATGATTTTTTTTTGTATGTGAAAGACATAATATTAACTGAAAGTCTGACAAATTTTGTAAAGATATACAAACTATATTGAGAGTTACAAGTATTAAATCTATAGACTTTAAATGAGTATAGAATGGTCACTTGGTCGGTCAAATCGACCGAGCCCGTATTGAGAGAGTTAAAATTCTATAAAATATTTTATCTTACCTTTCATGGGTGGGTAGTAACGGAGTAATGCATTTTTAACGGTAGGAGCAGTTCTAGAAGTTGTGGAATTTTTCCGCCAGTGCTTCATAATGTGGCTGAAAGACAACTGCATGTGATCGTCAACCGTTGTCAACAGAAAATATTTAGTGTTGAAGTACATCAGTGTATTCAGCAAGACATGGGGAGAGTGTGCCCCAAGTTGTCTCGACTCCCACAGTACTTCTTCTTCCACCCGAGAAACATAGGTCACTAAAATAAGAGAACACCAACTGCTGCACAAAATTATGTATCATTAATCATTTTTTTTCTTTGTTAACTAAAAAACCCATATTATTTCTTTACCACTGTAATGTGTAAATTTGCAAGTTATTAAGCTTGACCCAAAAATAAACATAACTAATTTTTTTTGCCTAAGAATTAAAAATAATGAGCCTGAATGTTAACATTTATTTAACGATTAATAAATTTTATGGAAGAATTTAAGTTTTAACCTTCCAATAAAACTGACATCAATTTTAACTCTTACCATCAGTAGCCAATGTCACTTCAAACTTCTGTAGGACTTCATTCAGACACTCCGTAAACTTTTCGTAGTAAGGATCTGTGAAGATGTTGTCTATTCTCTGGTTTTCAAATAGATACTGCTGGATCCCTAGCACAACGTAATACAGAATTCATCATTGGTACTATCTGTTTAAAGTTGAACAACACTATATTAATGGACAGAGTTTAAATATTCTTTCATAATTTTAGGATATATCAAGGTTATGCGACTCTACAGAAGATGGTGTTCTGTAATTAAGCAACATCACATCTCAATGTTTTTACCTGCTGGTATTTCTGATACCTACCTCTCCTCACCCAAAGCTATTTCAATCCTGGACTGCCCTCTAAGCATAACTAAAATGTTTTGCTAACAGCACACCAGTCTTTTATACCCCATCAGTTTCGCACCATTTCAGAACATGTGCTGATCATGTGATTACCCACCAATCATACTGCACCTTCTATACTAGCTCCCTCTACCATACTAGAGTAATACTTACTTTTGAGAATTGGCAGGTACAAACCACAAACACAAGCATTTCAGTGTAAGAAAATGTTAAATTCTGAAATAATTTTACCTCCTATCACCCACACATAGAATCCCACATTGCAAAGGTGGAGGGTGTCGGTGAAGGTGCATCAATATCCAATCAAGCAGAAAATGACTGCAAGAATATGAAAAGAAATGGCACCTGTGGGTATAGCATTACTTCTGGAACAAACATGCTCTTCACCCAGTAATTAACACAGGAACAAAAAGAGGGCAGAATTGAATTGGTAGGCCCCAATGCATTCAGAAAAAGAGAGATACAGCCTCAAATCAGTGGAAAAGTGCTGTATAACCATGACTTGATACATTACGGTGTTGACAAACATGGAAAGTCTAGTATGGAAGCCTTGGGTTACATCATAGTGTGTTTGGTGTGGTACATCCGGGCAAAACATCCTGTGGGAAACACCTTGTATAAGATGTTGAGATCAACAAGTGCAGGCAACACCCAGGGGGAAGCACCTTTGATAGATAATATTCAATAATTTGGCCAAGTGTGGTCCACTTGGGGGAAGAGCCTTGAATATTATGCTATTGTATAATCATTGTTTGGTAATGAGTATTACAACAGCCCTTTTCTCTTAGAGTGAGTACACATGATACATAAAGTTTGTTATGCAAAACCCACTCAGAAGGAAACCTCTTTGGTTCACCATTCCAGATACTGGGAACCGGAAGTGGCAAGGATTTCTGTGCTCCACGAGAAGAGAATGGGGGCAATATGCATGGAGAGTCTATTTTAAAAAGCAGAAAGACCCCGATTGGAGGAATCACGGGTCAGTAGGAATGAGCAGAAATCCCCATCTGCTTTATTTATGAAGTTCATGAGGGATGGTCCATATGAAACATTGATATATATACCAGATAAGTGTAAGGTGGTGTTACAGAAACACCCCACTTCAACTGTGACAGTATCAAGGCTATTTTGAAAAGCAGAAATCCCCATCTGCTTTACTCATGAAGTTCATGAGGGATGGTCCATATGAAACAGTGATTAAAAAAATAAAAATAATATAAACACATACACATACCACCAGATAAGTGGATGGTGGTCTTACAGAAACACCCCACTTCAACTGTGAGCATTATAGAAGTATACAGATTAATTGCTTTTAAAATATTAAGGATATCTAACCAGGCAACACCCACCATCAGGTAGGATCCTGAAATATGATGTATATCAACTAAATAAGATATGAAATAATAATATGTTGACTTACCCCAGTCAAAGACGAATGGACGAGTGTAGAATCGCCACAGGAGGAAGATGATACTCGGCCCAAGAAGTCGTGCAGATAATGTGTGACAAATATACTGGGAGTTGTCCATATACCAGCCTGAATAGTCTCCTCCAAAAGATGGTGGATTCGAGCAGCTAAAGACATAGTTATATGACAAATGTGGTGCAAAGAAACATTATGCAGATGGCAACCAGTCAAAGGAGTTAATGAACCCAACCAGTGAGCATAATAGGCGATAGATCACGGAAAACAGAGGAATTCCATGGAACAAACAGACAAGAATGAGAACCATGAGAGGAGTCAGAACAAGCCACATAATATCACAGGGCAAGAACTGGACAAAGCAGTTGATCCAAATCCGAATGGGAGTACAGGTGGGAAATGGAAGGAAAGGAGATATGCGAAAAAGGCTAAACAACCTTCCTGGGCAGGGAAGGAAGGCCCAATCCAGATAGAGGATAACAAGGACTGATAAAGAATGAAGGAAACATTAATGGCATAAATATCAGAATGATGATGACCACATGCCAGGAGGAGGAAATAAGTCTTAAGGGAAAGATGGTACAAGGAACACGTTGCAAAGGGTTCAAAGAGAGAACCAAACAGGGCAAGTAGGACAACATTGAGATCCCAATATGGCAGAACAAAGGGATGTGATGAATAAACAAGACAAAAGGAATGGAAAAGGAGGGAAATAACTGGGGAGAAGAAGGCTTTCCAGAAGTAGGAGAAATGGAAAATGTTTGACATGGCAACCCTATAACTAGCAACAACTGACACGGACAACCTGGATCAAACAATCGGGTGAAGAACTAGGACAAATGAGGAACAGGAGGAGAAAATAGGCAAAAGCCACATCAAATGAACAAATGGTAAACAGACAAGGAGGAAGGTTGAATGGTACGGGCAAGGAAAGATGCTACACTGAGGAAAGGGACCAGACAAAAGACATGTGTGCAGATGGAATTTGTTGACGTTGGAATGAACTATGTCTGATTGCAGTTGTCGAAGGAGTGACTGGAACAGGTAAGGGCAGGGAATGTTGCTCCAGCAAGGGCCAGAGTAAGGAGAACCATGTCTGAGAAGGCCAATATGAAGTAACAAACAGGACATGACAAGGAGTGGTCTGGAGAAAGGAAAAAAAGACTCTTGAGATCAGAGAGTAGGTATACAAGTGAAGACCCCTCCAAACCTGATTGAACACATCTACTCCCAGAGCTGAAGGGTGTGGAACCACAGATCAAAAGGAAGGAATATTGGCATTCCAATGAGTGGCAAATACATTTGTATGCTGTGTTCCCAGTTGAGAATACATCCACTAAAATACCAGTGGAAGAAGGGACCACTCTGTGGGGAGAACCTAGTTGAGTCAAGATAAGTGATTGGCCACCAGATTCATAATGTCAGGAACGTGACACACTAAGATTGGCATATAAACACAGAGATCTGGATTTAGTTCCCCCTTTCTTGGTGATGTAGCCAACAACAGTGGAATAGTTGGAATGAATTATAACCCCCCTCAGGAGTGGGAAGAAATGACATAGAGTCCGACAAACTGACAAAAGTTCCAGGAGTTGAAAACAGAGTAGCCTCCTCGATGGACCATCAACCAAAAATCTTTTGGAAATCAAGGAAAGTCCCCCAAACCACCAAGGAGGAATCAGTAAACAGAGGAGACTCCAGACTAGGTGGAGGAATGGGAGCCCCCATCACGGTCAGTTTCCTGTCGAGCCACCAAGCAAAGTTGTCCCTTGTTCCAGGAGGGGGTAATAGGATGGTTCAAGGGATCGTAGAAGAAGTTCTATTGGTCGAGAAGCATCCACTGACGAGAATGCATGTGCACTCAACCCAAGAGAATGAGAACTTGGGGAAGCCCACATCCCCAAAACAGATAACCCCCTCACATAGAAAAGGAGAAGGTAGGGCCATTATGATTGCCATTCCATATACCTGATCCGAAGTGGAGAAGGCTGTTTCGGACAAAGATGGAAATGGAAGACAAACCCTCAGATAAGATATTGAGTGGGGTTAAGATTGGACCTCTTCAACTGGATTAGAAAACCTTACGTGATTAATTTTCCAAGAAAGCAGGCGTAATTGACTGACTCAGCACGGTAAGAGGCGAGCAGAAGCCAGTCGTCCAGAAAAAGGAGTCTGACTGACAAAAGAGTGTATCACTTGACAAAACATATGGAGCCAAAGAAGGACAGAACAGCAGCGACCAGAACTGGAAGACACGACCCTCACAGATGAACAAAAAAAGATGTGAAATGGAGCAGTTGGAATATTAAGATAGACAACTGCTATGATGATTTGGTCATCCAGAGGCCCAGGGAAAAGAAACCCCCACAGTGAGAGGTACGACTACCCAAATAGTAACTATCGTGAAGAACTCGTACATATACCAATAATCAAACAATAAATGCAAATTTAAACTAAAGTAACTTAGATGGTAAAAGAATTATAAAAATCTAACTTACCAAGTACTGAGCAGAGAAGACATGAAAAACCAAAATTATCACTTGCAAAAATGAGGTATATCTACACAAGCTCACTAAACATGGGTATACCTACTGGGAGTGAGGAATACACGCTGCAAAACTTACCACACATCTGGAAAAAGAAGAATATCTAGCCCAGGAGATTACATGTAGGCATGGTAACAAGAGGAAAGTGCCATAGAAAGAAATTTCCACTCAGTTGTTAGATCCTTTCTCACAAAAAATTGTAACACAAAAGGAAGAAATCATCAGCCGAATGTAAGACACGAACTCCCCACAAACTAAAGCCTGTGCTTCCTCAGCAGACATCATCGACCCCGAAACTTGTGTCAGAACCATTGTCTACTGACATGGCAATTTCATAATATGCCATATTAAATCTCAAATTCATATGAACACATTAGAATTTGGAAAACAGAAATATTTCTAAAACAAACAAGTAGAAACAATGAAAATCAAAAACAAGAAGTCGAAACAGATATAGATTTGTGATCAAGTACAATCAAAATTTTGTAGTCACATGGAGAGTGAGTTAAAACACGTCTATAAAACAGAACGCCAACTGAGAAATTGAGGATTGCTCTTGAATAGTAGAGGGAGCTAGCTGCACTAGCATAGAGGATGCAGTATGATTGGTGGAGGGTAGTCACATGATCAGCACGTTCTAAAATGGTGCAAAAGTCATGGTGAATAAAAAACTGGCGCACTGTTAGCGAAAAATTTTAGCAATTCTTAGAGGGCAGTCCAGGATTGGGATAGTTTCAGGTAAGATTGGAGGTAAGACCGTTTCAGAAGCTCCATTTTTTTACCTACTGGGCTAAGAGAAATGCAAGTTCAACCCAGTTTAGCTAAGTTGTGGTGCAATATTTCCTAAGAATGTTTTTTTTTTTTGGAAATATCTACAAATCAGTGCAAATATTTTTACTAATTTGAATACAATAAATTAGTTATAGAAATAAAAAGACTCGATTCTATTGAGCCAGTGAAGAGAGAATTAAATTGATTAACTTCACAATTAGTTGCTTCCTGAATCATGAACCTCGTATTTTGAAGTGGTTGAACATTGATATTTGTTTAGATATATATAAAAAAATAGATGCATGAATTTTTTTATAGAAATTTTAGTTGTAATCCAAACTTTCTTATTAGTAATTTACAGCTGAGACAGATATGACGGAAGAATTAATTCAGACAAAACTGACTTACTGTTCTTCTGTTTGGCCTTACAAAAATTTTGACAGTTTCAATTAAACTTTAAAAATAATGTGAAATTATATTGCCCAAAAAACAGAGATTTAAGGAATCTAATTCTTGTTTAAACAAATAATTTAAGTGTTGTAATCCAACTGACTTAATGGTGTTGAATAATAATTAACTGTTATAATAGTCTACTTAATATAAACATCAGGTCAAACGTGAATAAGCTATTCTACTCCATGTGTCATCTTTGTGAATAGATTCATGAGTATAGTTAGACACAATGTTTCAGGAAAACAAAATTAATAGAATGACAAAACTGAACGTATCTACAAGTACCTAAAGAGAATAACATAACATGAGCATAAATACAAGTACCTGAAGAGAATAACATAACATGAGCATAAATACAAGTACCTGAAGAGAATAACATAACATGAGCATAAATACAAGTACCTGAAGAGAATAACATAACATGAGCATAAAAACAAGTACCTGAAGAGAATAACATAACATGAGCATAAATACAAGTACCTGAAGAGAATAACATTACACGAACATAAATACAAGTACCTGAAGAGAATAACATAACATGAGCATAAATACAAGTACCTGAAGAGAATAACATTACACGAACATAAATACAAGTACCTGAAGAGAATAACAT